TCATTGTTTGTTGCGGATAAGGCATAGGGTAAAATGTGGACTGGACTATTCGTTGGACTATTTTTTTACCATTTTTTGGACCCTTTTTTGGACCATTGGGGAAGCACACCATTATTACTCAGAGAGGGCATAATGTTTGTTTCGAAAAAGACAAGAAGACAGATAGGTCACGATGTTTGTTTAAGAGATGTGATGAGCCAAACTCACCCCGTTTATGCCTGTACTGGCAATAATCACGCGAGTCATTTGATCAGTTCACAATACATTTTGCTGCAACTGAAAACAAGAGCTTTTAAAGAAACACTTGAAAAAAAAAAACTTGATGGGTGGAAAGTCTCGCGCGTATGGAACAGTTTGGTATATAATTTTTGGAAAATCACGCAAATTTAAATGACATTAACTCAAAATAATCCTTTCAAAGTCATAATTAGCATCCTCGAGTGACGGGTTTTGTGCACGCTTTTAGCTCTATTTTTTTTTTCTCTACGAAGAATTTTTATTTTAATTTCCCCTATTTAAAGGGGATGATGTGTACACCAAAATAATGCAACAAAAAATTAAAGGTTACTTCGCTCGTTGAAGAGCTTTAGACCATTGTACCTCTTTACTTGGGCCATGGATTGAAAAATAACACCGCGTTCTGAGAATGAGCGCGCACTCATTTCCCTGATTACGAGAATTTTATGCACAATACAGGATGTGCGGTGCAATACTGAGGAATCACTATAAATGGACTCAGAAATCCCGCGCTTTTCAGCCAAATATTCCTGCTACCTTGATCTGGAATGCCAGCTGTCTCCTCGCCTTATTCCCCCGCCTATAGGTCCAGCGAGAAATTGGTGTTAGAAAACGGCCAGCATTTAAAAAAACTTTTCCCTGTGCAAAGCGGCTGATTTCATCCTCATTTCTTATTTGTTCACTAGCTTATTTTGTTTTTCAGATATCCTACTTAGTGCCCGATAAAGTACGAGATTTTTATAACATAATTTTCTTCGCGTTTGCCCCCCTTGGATGAGACTTTTCGTGTACCACATCGAGGGCATAGCAAATCATTTTTTTTGTTTGTTTGTTTGTTTTTTTTTTGTAGATCTGTGTTTTTAGGTCTATTGTTTCCGGTCTGGGACTTCAAGACACACCAATCTTTTAAAGTAAACTAACGACTGAGTCCACGTCTTTCTAGGTGGTATTCCTTTATTTATCTTAACTCATATATCTGAAAATAGATGAAGATGGGAGCGCCATCTTAACCACAATCTGGTTCACTACCAGAAGCAAATCATGAAGTCAGTATGCAAAATTTCCGTGCTACATCATAAAGACATTGGAGACCGACGTGAAAGAACGTGTGCTGAGCATCAGTGCTTAAAAGCACGCGTCACATTTTTTCTACCCAGCAAAAGGCACTTCGTTTTTCTGAAAAAAGAAATCGAATGAAGCATTAGTGACTTTCTATTAACTCTATAAGTCTATTATATGGCTTGGTTTCAATTCTTGAAAAACATTTGGGCTTAAGTATACAGCGTCTTGTCATTCATTTATTTTTATTTATTTATTTTTTTGTAATCCCTATTTATTACGGGAGCTGTTGTAATAATAATAAGAATAATAATAATACTTAATTTATATAGCGCCATTTCCAGCGATGTCCGATAGCGCTTTATAAAAATGTTTAAAATGATACAGATATCACAAGTATTGTTCATAAGAATATTTAAAACTTACATACATTCCACCAAAACGGCTATAATATAAAACAACCAATTAAAAAAAACTTAAAATATAAAGCTGAAATATCAAAGGGCTAATATATACAAATATCTGGATCCTGGTCTGGCAAGTAATGGCGGACGCTCCCCATGTGGCTCCGCTTATTTCGTTTCTCCTGACGCTATTTTTGGTCAACGTGTTGCTGAAAAGCTCAAGAGATGATATTATCTATCAGAGGCCTTCATTCGCAAATGGTCTTATCGTCCTGGCCGCTACATTCCCAAGGATAAGTCACCGAAAGTTCGTCAAATCTGGAAAATCGATGCTTCCTGTCATCTGATTATAATATCTACCGAAGAGATCGCCTAGGAAAAGGTGGTGGTGTTTTGTTAGCTCTAAGGGATAACATTTGTTGTTATAGACGTTGTGACCTCGAAACGGACTGTGAAATCCTTTGGTGTGAATTTCATTTCAATCCCTGCTCAACATACTTTATTGGAGTATACTACCGCTCTCCTAGCAGCGATATGGCCTACCTAACTAAACTGGTCCAATCGCTAGAAAAATTTCCACCATCATGTAATATCCTTTTGCTTGGGGATTTTAATCTACCTAATGTTAACTGGAACCTTGTAGCTCCATGGCAGCCGGATACTATCAGCGATTTCTTTTGCGACTCTGTTATTAATCGTTTTGGCCTCTCACAACTTGTGAATAAACCTACCAGAGGAGACGCTTTATTGGATTTAATCTTAACCAACACTCCTGCTCATTTGGCTAATGTTGAGATAGACTGTGGCCTTGGAAATTCAGATCATAACGTTGTTTGTTTCGACTTTAATGTCTATATTTCCCGTCCACATTAAGCTCCAAAGATCGTTTACGATTACAAAAATGCAAATTGGGAAGGTTTTCGCTCTCATCTTTCCAATGCCCCATGGGGCAATGTATTCTTAGAGAACAATGTTGATCAAATGTGGACAAAATGGAAAGAATTGTTCTTTGCTGCTGTTAATAAAAACATCAATACACATCATTTGAAAAGAAAAAGAAATGTTCCTTGGTTAACATCTGCAATTCGTCGCCTTTTTCACAAACGGAAACGCTTATGGAAAAAAGCTAAATCATCTCAACTTCAATCTGACTGGGAAAAATATAGGCAGTGTAGAAACAAGGTCAAATCTGAAATAAACAAGAGCTATTGGCACCATGTTCAGTCTCTACAAAACAGTAACAATCCTGAACGTTTCTGGACTTTCATAAAATCTAAGACGAAATCACAATCTATTCCACCTGAAGTATCCCTGGAGAACCAAAAGGCTTCAAACAGCTTCGATAAAGCACAGCTATTCAACAACTTCTTCTCATCGGTTTTTATAGAGAGTCCTGGTATTCCTGAGAAGTTACGTGACGATCTTCAACCTTTTACTGATCAAGTCATCTCAAGTCTACTTTGCTCTAAATCTGAGGTCGAGAAATTGCTCATTGGTTTAAACGTTGCAAAAGCTCATGGTCCGGATGGGATATCAGCGCGTATGCTTCGCGAGGCTGCACCAGCTATATCAGAGTCCATGACAAATTTATTTAACTTTTCACTCCAATCTGGCACCTTGCCTGTTGAATGGAAATCTGCTCACGTCATTCCAATTTTCAAAAAGGGCCAAAAAGATCTAGTCAAGAATTATCGTCCTATCTCTCTTACGAGTCTGATTGTAAAGACCCTGGAAAGACTGATATACAATCGCATTTTTGGATTTATTGAATCAAATAATCTACTTAGTAGTCCAATATGGATTTCTCCTGATACCCTGTACCTCTCAGTTGATACACCTTTTCCATGAATGGGCCAAAGCACTAGATAAACGCCTCTCTACCGATGTAATATTTCTGGACTTCGAAAAGGCCTTCGACTCAGTTCCTCACGACCGTCTCCTACTCAAACTAGAACGCTTTGGCATTACCGGCTCTCTTCTTTCCTGGCTATCCAATTTTCTCCAAGGTCGATCTCAACGTGTTGTAATCGAGGGCTGCCAATCTGACTGGGCGCCTGTCACATCTGGTGTTCCACAGGGGAGCATTCTTGCCCCCCTGTTATTTATCCTATACGTCAATGACATCCCTGAATCTTTATTAAGTCCTGCAGAAATGTTTGCTGATGATATGTTAATCTATAATTACTGTACTCCATCTCAAACGTCCATCACTGCCCAGGAGAGTCTAGATAAAGTCACTGATTGGTGTGGCTCGTGGCTTTTAGGAACAAATGCTGACAAATGCTGACAAATGCGAGTCCATGAAGTTCACCAGGGCTAGAACTCCCTCTCCGTGCAACTATACTATTAATAGCAAGCTACTTACCCAAGTATCTACACACAAACATCTTGGGGTGGTTCTTTCCAGTGATTTATCTTGGAAACCCCACGTACTGTCTGTTGTTGCAAGATCGAACAGATTATTGGGCTTACTCAAGCGGACATTTGGATCTCACTCTAGGGCTCTATTTACTGGTTATAGATCCATGATCCGTACAATACTCGAGTACGCTTGTCAAGCGTGGAATCCTCACCAAGCATATCTCATTGAAAAACTTGAATGCGTGCAAAGGAACGTTACAAGATGGATCATTGATAAAGACACTCCGTATGAAGACCGACTGAAATCCTTGAAACTAGCGACACTAGTTCAGCGCAGAGAGTTTCTTAGTTTGGTTCAGCTTTTTAAGTTCATTAAAGGACACTCTTCTGTAAACACTAATAATTACATATCCTTCAGTAACAGGCAATCAAGAAAAAGTCATCAGTTTAAACTATATAAACCATTTTGCCGTACAGACATCTTTAAGTACTCTTTTTGGCACAGACATATCGACACATAGAACAGTTTACCGTCATCAGTAGTTGAACTTGACTCAATTAATACTTTCAAGAAAGCTCTTAAATCAACATTTTTTAACTAGGCCTATAACTAAAAATTAAATTATTCTATGTAGTATACATTATTTAGTTATAATTTTAAACAAAATAGTTATCTTAGATATGTCTTCTTTATTTAGATTTTATATTTATATAGATATATGCCTGTATGTAAAATGTTTCAGTATGTATATGTATATTGCATAGTATTAAATTTTTATATCTGGGGTATAGTTTACAATGAGGATTAAGTTCCTCCCTTCTATAACCCTTTTTTAATAATAATATGTTATATGTTATTATTTGAATAAAGTTGTTATATATATAAAAACGACTAAAATATAAAAGGACTAATTTAAAAACGCTTTCCTAAAAAGATAAGTCTTCAGTTTTTTCTTGAAATCGTTCAGACTTTCACAAGATCTTATTCCTAGTGGGATATCATTCCACAACTGTGGTGACGCTATTTAGCATCAAACAGGCGATGGCCATTAGCAGATCTTAAGTTGCGCCTAGGAATATACCTCGTAACTATGTCAGACAAATATGAAGGTGCTATGCTATTCAGACATTTAAGAGTCATCAAAAGAATTTTAAAAATTATGCGCTGTTCTACAGGAAGCCAATGCAGTTCCTGTAATACCGGTGATATATGTTCATGTTTAGGTGTAAGTGCAACCATTCTGGCAGCTGCATTTTGAACATACTGAAGCCGCTTGATAGTTTTTTTCGGCAGTCCATACAAAAGTGAATAACAGAAGTCCAAGCAGCAGCTTCAAAGCAATGTGTTGCAGAACCAATGCAAATTTATGAAATATTTGAATTTCCTGAAAACTTTTCTATTTATTCCTTGACAAAAACCGCAAGAAATTTGCCAAATGAAAATTAGATATCTAAAAGTCCTCCATGCTCAACGGACCATCTGTATGACTGAAATAAGTTTTGATATCACTGATGGATTGTAATTGTTGCTTAATTGCTTCTTGCTGCAGCTTTTCTGACCATAGAATGATTTTATTTTATTGTCTGAGTTAAATATATCAATTGGCCATTATAAAGAGTTCTAAAGCTGATGTTTCGAGCGTTAGCCCTTCGTCAGGAGCGCAAAGCGAGAATAATCCAATAAGGTAATACTTGATTATGTCAAAATATGTCGTTAGCTTTTTAATAATGATCTATCGTCTCTTATGAACCCACCTGCTCCAACGGTGTAACAAGCACAACTTTAGTGCTGTCCTTCTCATGGGTCGCAGTTATTTCACACAAGAATGACTGCTTCATTTTATCCACGCATTTTATCTCAAAAACGCAGTAGGGGAAATCGGTAGAGTTCTCAGGAGTGTTCCACGCGTCTTTTGACTTAATCGTCTACGACATAAACACCGCTATTAGTATTGATGAATAGTTTGCACCAATACTGATAGATATATTAGAAGGTCTTCCTTTTTCTTCTTTCACCATTTTTGACTTAGGAACCACTGAGGAGCGGAGTGGGGATCAGTCGTTGCCAGAAGAGTATCAAGGGAGTGCTATGGTAGTAAACTTTCCAATTAACTGCCAATGAGGTTGGGTGTGTGTGGTGGGGGGAGGGTTTCACAAAAATTATGGAGCCTTATTTAGGGTCTAGCCTTATTTATCGTGGGAGCCTTATTTTTCGTGACACAACCAAATCCCTCAACCCTCCCGTTCCTCTCTGAAAGTAAATTGGATAAGGCGCCTTGATTGCTTTGTTTTGCTTGATGGATGTCTTTTTGTTTTGCTTTGTTTTGTTTTGTTTGTTTCTATTTTTAATAAGCTTTTTTCGTCGCTGTAAGTTTCTTTCACTGTATGGAACATGCAGATTCCTTGGCTGGTTTGGGAAATAATTGTTCTAAATCATACTTAAATGTATGCTTCACTATGGTGAAACGCTTAAGCAAATGAAACAATGAATGAATGAGTGATGAGTGAAAAAATGAAGAAAAGAGTGAAGAAAAGCAAGGAAGAAAGGAATGAAGCAATGACAAAATGAAAGGATAAATGGATAAAACGAGTGGGTAAATTTGTTAAGAAATGGATGGGACGACTGACCCTTTTATCGAGGGATTATAGGGTTACGCTTCGGCCGTTATTGCTGTTATAGCCTGTTACCTTAACACTACTGCCCTTCCATTCGAAGCCAGATTCCAAACCGCTGACCTCAATCTTTATATCTTCATCACTGATGGACACAAAAAGTCCCCCTAGGGTTGTCAACAAGTGGCGACCGTCAGATTCTTCCTTACTGCACACATTCTGTTTACGAAAAAGGGGGAAAATCAAATTAAATCAGGATATTAAACATTTACACAACACGACCAGTTCAGTAACACAACCTTCTCACGATTTCTTGAAGCGAAAAAATGTAGACAGAGTCTGGCTTTATTTCTAAATTGCATAAGCACTTCTATGAGCTGAGGTAACGAAAAGATGATAACTTCATTGCTTTAAAATTTTACACAGAAAAAAAAAAAGAAAAAAAGAAGCGCCTTACTCACTTGTACAGAGAGAAATCGTGTCCACAAGTGCATTATTAATATCCTTAATAAATTTTCTCTGAAATGATATTTCTTTCGACATCAAATTTTGATATTCAATTTCCAAAGTTATATTTAAGTGTTTTTAATGTGAATTAACTCAAATTGCAAATAAGTTAAATCAACAATAAAACAACCTCCATTTTTATTCCTCTCACCTTAAATGCCATCAAAGTGTCGTCAAAGAAAACTGCGTGAAACAGGGCGTTCTTTCCTTTTGCTCGGTTTTCACCAAAGATTCCCAGTTGCATTCGCTTTTTGTCTTCTTTCTCTGGAGTTCCGAATACAGCAAATTCGTGTTCTTCTTCCGGCCAAGGAATGGTTAAATTTATGAAGTTATGGTCTATTTCTGTTGTGGCACCCGGGTAATATACCGATATATTTTGCCATTTGGCAACATCATTACCTTTCGGCCTAAACTTCACCTCCATTTTCCACTTGCTTTTAGATCCATTTAGAGCACTGTGCTCCATTCGGAAATGAGTTGAATTACCCCTCTGCCTACGATTTACACTGTATAATCCTATAAATACAGAAAAAACAAAAAGAAGACAATAACTATAATGATAATAATAATAAGAAAAAACATTCATTCAAGAACCATCAAGGGAAAATCGTCTGCACCAAGAAATCTTGAAAAAATTTCCTTTGATTAGTTGTATCTGAAATTTTGACAGTGTTTCCTTCACTGATACACAGTTTGCAGGGGCGAGAGTTGAACCTATTAAAGTGAGCTTTCATTTTTAATCATACTCTTAAGTCGCTGTTTCTTCCTGAGTTTGCTGAAACCTTAAATTTTGTCCTCTCCAATCGCCAACGCCTGCCTGATAAAAACATCCTTTTTATTCGTTGCTTATATTACATTTTTTCACTTGTGTTCGCAATTTTCTTTAAAAAATATACCCACCGCTTATTCGCCTTGGCTGTCCTTTAGCTGAGATTGCCGACTTGTAATCGCCATTTTTAGCCTCAGGAACACCTGTTTATTACAAAACACACATTGGTAGGACACAGCACTGGGTTAGGTGCGTAATCCAACAACTACAATTATTGAAAAAAACCTCATGATTGTCAAATAGAAACTAGACATCAGTTTAATTCCCCTTAGAATTGAGTTAAAAGCCTCAATCACTAAGAAACATATTTAAAGCCAATCCACCTCACCGTTCATATGGGTAGTCTGTTTGGTAAACATAATGAAGTTGAATTTGAAAAATTTTCCAAGAGTTTAGTGAAACTTCAAATTCTACCCTCGCCATGTGCCAGTGTCTGTCTAGTTAAAACACACTTATTCCTTATCACTCATTTGATTTTTATTTTCCCCTCCTATCAACCCTTTTAACTGATGAAATAGTAGGCATCATCGAAGGTAGAAAAGTCAACTCTCTCATACAAAAACAATTTTTAACCCGGAGTAGATATTTCTCTTAACGACTATGCAAAAAAAAAAAATACACCAGCTAAACCTCACTGACTAGTCTCATAAGGGCAGTTACTTCTGTGAATAATGAAAATGCAAAAATCATCGTGTTTGACCCAAGACATAATTACTAAATATCAAATTAAAAAAAAAACAAAACATATATTAAAATTCTCATATTCAGTATTAAATGTTGAAGAAACCAATTTAATTTCTCAGCTGCAAATTTATTGAACACCCGCTCGGTCGAAATTTTCAAAAAAAAAGTGAAACTTCAAATTCTACCCTCGCCATGTGCCAGTGTCTGTCTAGTTAAAACACTCTTATTCCTTATCACTCATTTGATTTTTATTTTCCCCTCGTGTCAACCCTTTTAACTGATGAAAGAGTAGGGAGGTTCCCTTTAAGACAGATATAACATCACGAGATCTGTGGAGAAGCCACATGTAACTGCCTTGCACGGGAACTTTATGTAACTATAGAGCAGTTGTATCTTCCCAAATGGATAATCACCTAATAATCAATATTCTTAATCAAAGTCTATTTAAAATAAAAGTGATGACCAAGTTATTAAATAATGATAGCGATGACAATTTCAAAGAAAAACGCGAAGAGGATAACAATCTTTGCCTCCCAAATATTAATATTCTTTTTTGAAACTTTTTCGGACATTTTTCCCACCTAGAGAGTGGCTAAATTTGGCTAACATGCACGAGAAAGTTACGAAGCACAGAAGAGTTCTAACTCTACAAGTAAATGATAACCGTATTGTTAATATTCTCCTCAAAGATATACACTTGAACCCAAATTACGAAACCACGTTTTCATCAAAAAGCCCAGCTCGATGGGAGTATTCACCTTAACAATCATACAGTTACATGTCAATGGAAGTATTCACCTTATGAATCAGAGAGCAACCGAAATTACAATACCGCAATATTCACTTCAACAATCAAAGAAAAACGTCAAAACGATGACAACTGTAGCCTCTCAGATTAATGTGCACGAAGTAATTAATTTTCCTTTGAAACTTTTTCGGAAATTCATCTCACCTAGAGGGTTGCCACATTTGGCTGCCGTGCACGAGAGAGTAAAGAAGAACAGAAGAGTTCTAACTCTTCAAGTAAATGATCACTGTATTATTAATATTCTCCTCAAAGATATACACTTGAACCCAAATTACGAAACCACGTTTTCATCAAAAAGCCCAGCTCGATGGGAGTATTCACCTTAACAATCATACAATTACATGTCAATGCGAATATTCACCTTATGAATCACGCATTTACACGATACTTACCAAACCGAGATCCCCAAAGTTTGTCTGATTAAAATAAACAAGAAAAGAAGACGTAATGATTAACTTTTAAGATGATGATAATGGTGACAATCTCACTACCAAGTGCAACAGTATAAATAAACATCTAATTACATGATACTTACCAAACCGAGGTTCTTCTTCTGAAATTAGATGAAGGAAGAAAGAAGAAAAGAAGACGTAATGATCAACTTTTAAAATGATAATAATGGTGACAATCTCTCTACCATTTACAGCTCCATGAATAAACAGAAGACTGGTACCGTAAAATGTAAGAAAGATGACAATTTCAAAGAAAAACGTGAAAAGGATAACAATCTTTGCCTCCCAAATGTTAATATTCTTCTTTGAAACTTTTTCGGACATTTATCCCACCTAGAGAGATGCCAAATTTGGCTAACATGCACGAGAGAGTAACGAAGCACAGAAGAGCTCTAACTCTACAAGTAAATGATAACCGTATTGTTAATATTCTCCTCAAAGATATACACTTGAACCCAAATTACGAAACCACGTTTTCATCAAAAAGCCTAGCTCGATGGGAGTATTCACCTTTACAATCATACAATTACATGTCAATGGAAGTATTCACCTTATGAATCAGAGAGCAACCGAAATTATAATGCCGCAATATTCACTTCAACAATCAAAGAAAAACGTCAAAACGATGACAACTGTAGCCTCTCAGATTAATGTGCACGAAGTAATTAATTTTCCTTTGAAACTTTTTCGGAAATTCATCTCACCTAGAGGGTTGCCACATTTGGCTGCCGTGCACGAGAGAGTAAAGAAGAACAGAAGAGTTCTAACTCTACAAGTAAATGATCACTGTATTATTAATATTCTCCTCAAAGATATACACTTGAACCCAAATTACGAAACCACGTTTTCATCAAAAAGCCCAGCTCGATGGGAGTATTCACCTTAACAATCATACAATTACATGTCAATGCGAATATTCACCTTATGAATCACGCATTTACACGATACTTACCAAACCGAGATCCCCAAAGTTTGTCTGATTAAAATAAACAAGAAAAGAAGACGTAACGATTAACTTTTAAGATGATGATAATGGTGACAATCTCACTACCAAGTGCAACAGTATAAATAAACATCTAATTACATGATACTTACCAAACCGAGGTTCTTCTCCTGAAATTTGATGAAGGAAGAAAGAAGAAAAGAAGACGTAATGATCAACTTTTAAAATGATAATAATGGTGACAATCTCTCTACCATTTACAGCTCCATGAATAAACAGAAGACTGGTACCGTAAAATGTAAGAAAGATGACAATTTCAAAGAAAAACGTGAAAAGGATAACAATCTTTGCCTCCCAAATGTTAATATTCTTCTTTGAAACTTTTTCGGACATTTATCCCACCTAGAGAGATGCCAAATTTGGCTAACATGCACGAGAGAGTAACGAAGCACAGAAGAGCTCTAACTCTACAAGTAAATGATAACCGTATTGTTAATATTCTCCTCAAAGATATACACTTGAACCCAAATTACGAAACCACGTTTTCGTCAAAAAGCCCAGCTCGATGGGAGTATTCACCTTAACAATCATACAATTACATGTCAACGGAAGTATTCACCTTATGAATCACGCATTTACACGATACTTACCAAACGGAGAGCACCAAAATATGTCTGATTAAAATAAACAAGAAAAGAAGACGTAATGATTAATTTTTAAGATGATGATAATGGTGACAATCTCACTACCAAGTACAGCAGTATAAATAAACATCTAATTGCATGATACTTACCAAACCGAGTTTCTTCTTTTGAAATTAGATGAAGGAAGAAAGAAGAAAAGAAGACGTAATGATCAACTTTTAAAATGATAATAATGGTGACAATCTCTCTACCATTTACAGCTCCATGAATAAACAGAAGACTGGTACCGTAAAATGTAAGAAAGATGACAATTTCAAAGAAAAACGTGAAAAGGATAACAATCTTTGCCACCCAAATGTTAATATTCTTTTTTGAAACTTTTTCGGACATTTATCCCACCTAGAGAGATGCCAAATTTGGCTAACATGCACGAGAGAGTAACGAAGCACAGAAGAGTTCTAACTCTACAAGGAAATGATACCCGTATTATTATTATTAAAGTTCTCCTTAAAGATATACACTTGAAAACCAAGCTACTAAACCATGCTTTCACTAAAAAGCCCAGCTCGATGGGAGTATTCACCTTAACAATCATACAATTACATGTCAAAAGAAAAAGAAAAGAAGACGTAATGATTAACTTTTAAGATGATGGTAATGGTGACAATCTCACTACCAAGTACAACAGTATAAATAAACATCTAATTACACGATACTTACCAAACCGAGTTTCTTCTTCTGAAATTAGATGAAGGAAGAAAGAAGAAAAGAAGACGTAATGATCAATTTTTAAAATGATGATAATGGTGACAATCTCACTACCAAGTACAGCAGTATAAATAAACAGAAGATTGGTACCCTCACAAGTGAACAATTAGTGAATCGTCATTTCCTAACAATCACTTATTGTAAAACAAGTTCAGGGAGCAACCCAAATTGTAATACCACAATATTAACTTCAACAATCAAAGGAAAACGTAGAAACAATGGCAACTGCAACTTAACAATCATACAGTCACATAATACTTACTCGAAGTTTCTTTTTGTGAAATTAGGTAAAGGAAGAAAGAAGAAAAGAAGAAACAATCATTAAGTTTTAATATACACTTGAAAACAGAGTTACTAAACCACATTACAGCAGTATAAATAAACAGAAGATTGGTGCCCTCAAAAATGAACGACTAGTGAATCATCATTTCCTAAAAATAACTAATTGTGAAACAAGTTCAGGGAGTAAGTGATCAATACTCTTTTGAAACTTTTTTGGAAATTCATCTTACCTAGAGGGTGGCCACATTTGGCTGCCGTGCACAAGAGAGTAAAGAAGAACAGAAGAGTTCTAACTCTACAAGTAAATGATCACCGTATTATTAATATTCTCCTCAAAGATATGCACTTGAAAACCAAGTTACTAGACCATGTTTTCATAAAAAAGCCCAGCTCAATGGTGGGGGTTATCAGCATAAAAAAATAGAAAACTGATAGACCAGCCCCCGAGCTCTGTCCACGGCAAACACGCGGACAATTAAAGGAGCCCAGTCTGGTCACAGTTATTGCCCATCACTGCTACGAACTGATGTAAAAGCCTTTGCCAAGACAGAAGAAGGAAGGGAACGTGATAGTTGCAGTGAAGTTACAGCAACCTAGGTACGAGTCTCAAACTATAGTCGCAATCCACCAATGAATGCAAGATAATGTGCCAAGAGACCGATAAATGTTCCTTTGTCCCACAAGATTAATTCACCTGACCGAGATTTGTTCAAATAGTTATCAAGCCGTGAAAAATCAATGTTAACGCGCGAGCTCGACATTAAAACAGTACTAGCAAGTGTGATACAATTTAGAGGTTTTTTTACTAACTGAAGCAGGTTTTACATGTTTGAGTTACTCGGTTTGCTTGAAATATTTTCTTACCAATAAATTGTGTGAGCAGCCTTTGTTATGCTCAAAACCGAAAAATAAATTGAACTTGCTGGCTAACCAGTCGTTCTTTCGGCAAAAATAATAATAAAAAAATTCACACAAAGTTTTTTTTTTCCTTCTGTTCTTTGGAAAAATACAGTTAACACAAGGAGTGCAAGCGCAAATGAGCCTTTGTTTCGAAATTGTGCTTTGTTTAGGGGCACTTAAATTTCTCTTTACTGTAAGGGAAATAGAGGATGCAACTAGCGTGACTCCAATTCTTGAATCTAACCCCAAAATAAAATTGCTGATTGTACTCGAGTATCGTGCGTTTAAGAGATAACAGAAAGGAAAGGAAAGAAAAAAGAAAACACGAGAAAGGAGGTTTATTGAGGCCAGCCATACTATGCACTCACCTTCAGTATTAACCTCCATGGTCGATGCTCTTGAACGTCTCACGAGTAGTACGAGAAACATAACTTATCTTCTTTTACCCCCAAGCCTGAATTGTAAAATAGTGCAACGTATCAAGACAATAAAAGTCCGGTAGTTATGTTTTTACTAGAAACGTTGCCGTAAGCGCGGATGAGAAGGACTAGTCACTTGCTCTCAAAATTGACAAATGATGCGCACATTTGCTCAATATGCAAATTTTAGTGAGCACTTTCCCCCATGACCTTTGTGGCAGCGTTGCACATTCTTCGAATTGTTTTCATTGCAGCACGTAAATCACGAATTTGCTAAATCGCGTATCATGCATTTGAAAAGGGCTAAATCATCTTTTTTCAGAGGAATGGTCTATCTACTCAAAGAGAAAAGAAGAGTAGAAATTAATTCTCTCGTCAACGATTAATTTTACCACCAGCTTGCGGCTGTTTACAAGATTGCGTGCTCGAAACTGAAAGTGTCTTGCAAGCAGGGTCAGATAAGGTGTAGCGATCACGAGACAAAAAAAAACATCATCACCAACACGAATATCTACGAACACGAATATCAACGTGGTACGATCATACCTAAGAAAAAAGGAGACAGTTGGAGACGCCAATAAAGAGCTGTAGAGGTTAACACTGAACAGCTTTAGTAATTTAAGGGACTGAAGGTATATTTAATTTCTGTTATGTTGAACGGAAATGAAAGTTGCTTCGTAAGCGCATTCTTTGTTAGAAGCAACGGCCAATCAATTACGTCGAGAAAAAGCCCCTATCACATGTTTACTAAGCTTCACTTCAGCCTTTAATGCCGTGAGCTGAGTTAGAGGATACTCCTGCTTTTCGAAGTTAGCTTATCTCGGCTTCATTGTGCAAGCAACAGTCCTTGGATATTAACAGGTACAAAATCTTCCTTCAGTAAGTTAAAAATATTATCACGCTATAAGTGGAACCAAATATGCCACTCTTTACAATTGGTTCACTACAATTTACTCACTTCAGAGGCATTTACAGCGAAGAACATTTTGGACTGCAATTGCGAAAAGGATATCTTGTAAGTAACGTTCAAACTGCTACCACCAAAAACCTTTTTTCCCTTAGATTGTCTAGAACGTAGCCTATATTCGTAAAGGTAATTACGGATCCAATATTCCAAGAAAGACCACACGAAATACAAGTAACTACTATAAAGCAATAGATTTAGAAAAAAACGAGTAAGATCATATTGTAGCTTAATTTTAGCTGCAAATTAACTCAGGTATGAATCTCGACGGAAAGTACTGAAAGGGGAAATTTCATAAAAATTAATTAGAATCTTCGCGAAGTCTCGGCATTAATTTTTAACCCATGTATGATTAGTGGCGTGACCAGCTATTTTATATCATCACTGTTGATTGGTCGCGGAGTTTAACAACAGGAAGCAATTTCTATTGGTTTTAACGGCTAATGACCCTCGCGAGTTGTAAGGAGGAAAAACATGGGTTTGCTGGTGCAATAAACAATGGTTTTTTGATCAATTAGGGCGCTCGTAATATCTTAGACAGTCAGTAAATGACGCGAACTAAGGCGAATTTCGCTGTTCATTTATATTAGCTTAGGAGTAAAGCAAAAGAAGATGACCAAAATCTTAGATGGAATTTGTCGCTTGGATTGTTTAGTTTTAAACACATTGTAAGTAATCACGATCCTGGCGGCAGCAGTCACTGGTATTCATTGGCTCATAACGCTGAGTGTGGAAACCGAAAAAACAAAACAAATAACAAAACAGAACAAACAAACAAACAAACAAACACACAAAACAAACAAAAAGATTTTAAAGTCATTAGAATGATGACTTAAGTGAAGATGGAAGACGTAAGGTTGTTTAAAATAGGGACAAAAATAAACGATTGTATGTGGTATATAATATTTTGCTTAAATAGTGAATTCCAGTCTATTCATATAATCTGCCCAACCTTAGTTTTTCCACCTGTTTGGGTCAAATTTTCTTCTTCTTGAGGAGCAATTTGGCCAGGCAACATTCATTTGATGAGAAACGTTTTTTTCGTTGATGCAATTGAAATAACAGAACATCTCTTATGATCAAAATGTTGTAAATGAAATATGATATGTTTGCCTGTTGACTAAGGATCTGTATATTTTAATACATAGATTTAGCCAAGCCTAAAAGCGGAGCCCTTATTAGTTTATTTCCCAGCCCTACATTACACTGAATAAAAAATGTAATAAAACTTTCTACTGGCAAGTATTTGTATTATATTTCAACCCAACCACTTCCTCAACATATAAACACTGTTACAGGGAAATGGAAATGGTCAGGTCAGGGAAATGGAAAACTTGTGGCATATACACCATATTTGAAATGCCATGACCATAGTAAGCTAACAAGATTGGGGAGGATGTATGTGAGAATAGGCCCTCTTGTCTGTATCAATAATTTGCTAATCACACCTGTTGGCAATGTTTTGACGAGGTTGGGCTATCAAGGCAAAGGAACTGAGGATTTTAGTAGGCAGTGACTTTTTTTCAAATCTGGAAACTATCGTAATGAAAGCCATACTTGTGCCCGGTAACTCATTGTTATTCTAATAAACTAGTTTTGAGAAGAATTCAATATTTCATAACAAAAACTCGATGCATAGGTTGTGCAAAAACCTTTAATTTGACTATACTTTTATGGTCAATACCAGTCCCTTCAAATGGTAAAATGTTAGGAGGATCAGAGAAAAAATAATCTGCCATACATCTGCAAGATTTCATGTAATTATTGAATTACAAGAATATTAACTGATACTAGGAGATCTAATAATATTAAAAAAATAGTAAAATTTGGTTTAAAAACTAGAATTCAGCACAGGCTGGATAAACGAGGTTCTTAGAAAAAGAAATGTGTACTCATGAAAAAGCTAAGCAAACTTTTTTTACAACACCTACCTATATGGCATGTAGTAAAGTCTTTTGAAGTAGTCATAATCCCAGTTTCATATGTTGAAAACACATGCACATGCAGATTTCTTGTAAACCTATAGTTTAAGCCTGTGATGACTTCGAAATTTTGATGCGCACCTCAAAAGGAAAACAAATAAATATCATGTTTCTATTTATTCAGTTTAGGTTAGTGAGGTAAAATCCAGTCAAACATTCAAGATATACAATGACAGGTTCAAGAAATTTTCACAACTATTTTTAAGGTTAGCCTACCTGGAACAATCATCTTGAACTGATGATGCCTAACAGAAGTACCCTTGGTAAGAGGGCAGGCTTTCCTTTCTTCATTTAAAGAAATAATGATGTTATCATCTTTCCACAAGCTCAGTGGAAAGTGAGAGTGAATGAGACTGATAGTGTCTTTGTTACTTCAATAAATATCCAGAGCCAGGATAAAAAGTCCAGAGACAGTCTGCAAAACTCTCTTACTT